CCACTCGCTATTTGCAGTGCCGAGTCAAAAAAGAAGCATGAAATTCTGGCCCTTCACGAGACATCTGAATCCGGCTCTGGGGTAAGCAGAGCTAGAAGCGGAAGGGGGGGGGGCAAGAGAGGGTTAAAACATTTTTTGTTCTACTTTACATGTCAGCACACGTGAACGTGCGATGGCGACACCACCATTTGTACTCTGCAGTGGAAGGAGACACCTGGCACCTCCTGAGGTGCTCCGGGCTGGCTCGACACGGCACAAGCGAGGCCTGGTTGTACAGTGAAAAAATAGGTTTACTGTCCTGCATTCCACTGTGAGTTGAGTGTAGCAACTGGTCAAAGTGTCTTGATGCGTCCATTGCAAATGTTTTTTTTATTACACATTTTGCTTTAAACGAGACTAAAAACACAATGCCTGTCCCCCCAGCCAACCAACTCATATTTCAGAATGTCACACACTCACATCTGTTTGTACCAGTCGGACCTTAGGATAACCGCGTAATTAAAACTTGGAATGTCAATAATGAATGCTGAAGACTCTGCTTATGAAGTCTTAGGATATTCAAGATCACTTCACTGCAAATGTGGCACGTTACAACCAAACTTCCCATTGAACACAATACCATACTTCAAACCACCAATCCTCGAAAACTTAATATTTCCACAAATTAACACTAATTATAGCTGCACTTCAATATTGGTTTACCAAACCGCCTTCACAAACTTGCATAGCAAACATAGCCGGCGAGTTGCAAATTTGCCCATTTAATGTTGGTAAAGTGAAAATAAAGATGTTAAAGGATGAACTGGATATTTCTCTGTGGATCTTATTTTTCACACAAAGCAAATACTTGTATCATTGAATCAGTGATGCTGATGCACAACCATTTTAACTATTAAACGAATACAATTTTAACTTACATAAATACTCTTTTTCACATGTTACTTAAAACCCACGCAACCTAAAAACAATGCTTTCAATTGTGATTCTTGGCTGGCCATTGCATTGCAGAATGTGACCTCATACTTGGGACCCAACAACTGGATCTACTTGGCTGTACAGCACTCGCAAACGCCATGACTTTAGAATAAATATCAACGTCGAATATTGCGATGGACCAGCTACCTGGGGCTGACCAAAACCTGTATGAGCTGAATTCAGTTTGGGCTGATTAAACAAAGTGCTGCACAAAAACGCTGAAAGATTATTTCGTGCAGTGAGGGAAAAAAGTATTTGATCCCCTGCTGATTTTGTACGTTTGCCCACTGACAAAGAAATGATCAGTCTATAATTTAATTAACTTTGAGAGACTTAATAACAAGAAAATGCAGAAAAGCGCATGTCAAAAATGGTATAAATTGATTTGCATTTTAATGAGGGAAATAAGTATTTGACCCCTCTGCAAAACATGACTTAGTACTTGGTGGCAAAACCCTTGTTGGCAATCACAGAGGTCAGACGTGTTTTGTAGTTGGCCACCAGGTTTGCACACATCTCAGGAGGGATTTTGTCCCACTCCTCTTTGCAGATCTTCTCCAAGTCATTAAGGTTTCGAGGCTGACGTTTGGCAACTCGAACCTTCAGCTCCCTCCACAGATTGTCTATGGGATTAGGGTCTGGAGACTGGCTAGGCCACTCCAGGACCTTCATGTGCTTCTTCTTGAGCCACTCCTTTGTTGCCTTGGCCGTGTTTTGGGTCATTATGCTGGAATACCCATCCACGACCCATTTTCAATGCCCTGGCTGAGGGAAGGAGGTTCTCACCCAATATTTGACGGTACATGGCCCCGTCCATCATCCCTTTGATGACGGGCATGTATATGTGCTATCTTGAGCAGGGGGACCTTGCGGGCGCTGCAAGATTTCAGTCCTTCACGGCTTACTGTTACCATTGTTTTCTTGGTGACTATGGTCCCAGTTGCCTTGAGAACATTGACAAGATCCTCCCGTGTAGTTCTGGTCTGATTCCTCACCGTTCTCATGATTATTGCAACTCCACGAGGTGAGATCTTGCATGGAGCCCCAGGCCGAGGGAGATTGACAGTTCTTTTGTGTTTCTTCCATTTGCGAATAATCGCACCAACTGTTGTCACCTTCTCACCAAGCTGCTTGGCAATGGTCTTGTAGCCCATTCCAGCCTTGTGTAGGTCTACAAACTTGTCCCTGACATCCTTGGAGAGCTCTTTGGTCTTGGCCATGGTGGAGAGTTTGGAATCTGATTGATTGCTTCTGTGGACAGGTGTCTTTTATACAGGTTACAAGCTGAGATTAGGAGCACTCCCTTTAAGAGTGTGCTCCTAATCTCAGCTCGTTACCTATATAAAAGACACCTGGGAGCCAGAAATCTTTCTGATTGAGAGAGGTCAAATACTTATTTCCATCATTAAAATGAAAATCAATTTATAAAAAATTTCACATGTGTTTTTCTGGATTTTGTTGTTGTTATTCTGTCTCTCACTGTTCAAATAAACCTACCATTAAAATTATAGACTGATCATTTCTTTGTCAGTGGGCAAACGTCCAAAATCAGCAGGGGATCAAATACTTTTTTCCCTCACTGTATTTTGGTGATGCCTTGCATGAACTGGTGCAGCTCTTACTAATTTTTACTACAATTGTTTTTAGCAGGTAAGGCCCACTGAGCTATATAGCTCTTTTTCAGAGCGACCTGGCTATGACAAATGATAGCTCAACGAAGTGGATTATATCGTCACATGGAAATGTATAATAGCCAAATACTCTGAAGCGTGTTGATTCTAAATGTGGAGGGAAAAACCGGAGGACATGGAGAAAATGCACGCCACCACAGGGAGAACGTGCAAACTCCAAAAATGCAGCCGGCATCAGGGTCGGGATTGAACCCACAACCTCCTATATACCAGCCAAGGCAGTTAACATCTCGCCACCGTGGGGCCCGCTCTTACCAATCCACTGCTGAATGAGGGCATATCCAAGCTGTGCAGGACGTGCGTGTTGTTTGACCATACTTCACCATGCTGACAAATTGTGGCTTGGCAAAGATGGGGAGCACAGACGTGGTAGCATAGTACAGTGCAACTGTTTAACTGCACTGCCCTCTCCTGACAATGTCGTCCTGCAGAAGATTTTGCATGGTGATCAGCCACTCGCGCACCATTCAGGCGCAGGTGTGCTTCGCTTTTGACATCTGAAGATTGGGCACATTCAAGGTGATTGGGTACACCTTAGTGGCTAAAAATTAAGCTTCATTTCGATTTAAAGCTTTCGTGACTGCAAAGATTCATCTTCTTTGGTTCTTTCGGTAAAGTCACGTAGAATGAGAATAAAATAATAAAATAAAACAATAAAAGTCTCACGACGTTTCGGCCACAACACAAGTGGCCTTCTTGCAGCCCCTTTGGCGTCCATGCACTAGGTGCCTCTGTGGATGTGTAGGCTTTGACTTTAACATAGCTATTTCTGTGACCAGTCACAAGCTAATCCCTCAACTGTTTCAATGCTAAATTCTCCTGTTTGATATGTACTAGGTGCCTCTGTGGATGTGTAGGCTTTGACTTTAACATAGGTATTTCTGTGACCAGTCACAAGCTAATCCCTCAACTGTTTCAATGCTAAATTCTCCTGTTTGATATGTAAACCCCTTTGTCAAGGTGCCTCATTTCTCTCAACCAGCTTAAAAGACGCTGCGAATCTTAGCAGCGTTCATTGTAGCTCTGTCATCCCGACAGGTTTGTTCCTTTCACCTGAAGAAGGCCACTTGTGTTGTGGCCGAAACGTCGTGAGAACTTTATTGTTTTATTATTTTATTCTCATTCTACGTGACTTTACCGAAAGAACCAAAGAAGATTAATTAAGCTTCAGTTTTTGCCAAATTATAGATTCAACATCAGAGAATACAGTCATATGTTTGTTCCACTGAAGTTTTCAATACTTTACCAATGTTATGTCAATTGCTCATATTCCAGTCTTCACATGCGGCTACAACAAATCAGCTTGTGTATGGCAGCGACTTAAAACATTGTTTTTAGGTGTCCCTACATCACCACTGTGGTAGAACATTGAAAGGTACTCAGGCGCTTAAAAAACAAATCCTAAATGGCTCTATAATTAACCTTTCATTTTAAAGTAAATGTATCCTCCAGATGGGACGCAGTATAGCACTGTGTATAGAAGCTCCCTCTAGTGGAGGCTTTGCCACTTCCAGTGGCGGGAGCACATCAACTAAACATTTTTTTTATTTTACCAGATAAGGCCCAGGGAGCAGTATAGCTCTTTTTGAGAAGCGACCTCGCTATCACGAATGACAGCCCAACGAAACGGCTCATCACGTGGAAACTTACAATAGCCAAATACAGAAATCCCCACCGCTCTCTCCGTACCACCAAAAGGAGAAACACACACCACCCAATGACACTTTAAATTTTGCTCCTCACTATATAATAAGGAGCGAAATGGTTCTTGATCAGCATCGATATATATATTGGCAGATTTGGATATGGGCAGGGCTTGCGAAGACTGGAGTGAGAGCTCTGACTGGCTATTGAGTGACTGCTGCACTTGCAAGCAGTGGATGTCATATTTAGAAGCAGCTCCATTCGAGCCATTGAGGTTGTAAAACCATCTGATGACACCCATGCACATGAACCCAAACTTGTCGTTATGAATTCCATACACACACTCTCAAAAAACCGCCAAAATCAGATACAGTTAGTAGTTTTTGTATCTTCAGTAAAAATGTGCCTGGCAAGTTAAGTAAAAAATTTTGATTTTCGGTTATTTTACTTTAAACAAACTATCCCATGGAAAAAGAGGAAATGGAATGATGCACCATTTTGTAACAAATATTTTCTCCACTTACTAAAAAAACACACCCAAGTCGCAAGGTCGTATTGACTGACGACCTCTTGAACCTGGATTCCAAACCCTTACACAGACTCCTTAGACATCTTAAATTTTCAACAAGGTAAAACATTTTCGCCATTGACCAATATACTGGAAGGTAGTTGGATATATTACCACTTTAGGACTATTTAATTACGTGATTTATTTAAACCAGTTTCACGCTGAACAACACACCGATGCAGGGTGGGGGAGTTTTCTCCCTCCTCCATCAACAGTTTGCCAGCTTTACAAAAAAATCCCCAGTCAGAGTTTCTCGTATACTGCGACGTAACGGGACAATAAAAACATAAAACGTTGGCTTTTCCTTTATAATTCCCTCCTCGCCCGTTACCCTATAAATAACTCTCCGACAACTATTCGATGATGATGGACGGATCCAGGTCGATGATCTGATGGCCGACCACGTTGTCAGCCGACGCGCGGATGCCGTCCATGATGTGCTTGCGGCGATGCAAGGTGAGGTGGGACGACTGCGCGAACCCCTTGCCGCACACCATGCAGATGTAAGGCCGCTCGCCCGTGTGCATCCGCCGGTGCGTCACCAGGTGCGCCGATTGCGCAAAGCGCTTTCCGCACGTGTCGCACGAGTACGGCTTCTCGCCCGTGTGCTTGCGCCGGTGCACGCGCAGGTGGTGGCTCTGCCGGAACGTCTTGCCGCACTCCTCGCAGCGGAATGGCTTGTCGTCCATCGAGCCGCTGGGGAAACACAGTGCCAGGTGCTCGACGCCGAAACCGGCGCCGTTGCCGCCGCCGCCGCCGCCGCCGTCGTCGCCGCCGCCGTCGTCGCCGCCGCCGCCGCCGCCCGCCTGCTGCTCCTCCAGCTGCTGCGCGATGGCACAAGAAGAGTTCCGGTCGTCCCGCAGCGGCCACGTCTCGTCGCCCCCCTCCGAGAAGTTTTGCTCCTCGTGTGGCTGGAAGCCGTCGTCGTACGACTCGTAGCTCTGCACCGACGAGTCGTGGAGGTCGCCCGAGACCGCACGGAACTGCCGACCCTTCGCATCCTCGCTGCTGGCGCCTGTGAGGCAGTGTTAGTTTAGTAACGCGCTTTTGTTTCAAGGCAACATGTGGAACTTGCCGAGTCTTAGTTTTTGGTTTTAATTTAATAGTGGTCAAAACATTCTTAGTGATTAAATGTTATGGCGTAAGGAGCGTGGCAATCTCCCCCCCCCCCCCCACTTCACAATTCTATAATGTCAGCCAATTGATAAACTCAGTAAATCTTATATATACAGTCAATGACCAGTTTCAATCTTCCACTGTCACTGCAGTCTACAATAAGGTTACAACATTATCTCCATCTGCGTGGTCATTCAGACTCGTCAATTTCACCTTGTCAGTCGGACATGCTTCGCTCGTTGGTGGGTAGTTGTAGTCGTCATCAGAGCCATCCCTAAGGTATGGAGAATCGGGGCGACTGCCCCGGGCCCTGCACTTTGGGGCGCCCCCTCGCTTCCACGTCACGGTGTCCGATGTAATACTTCTGGTTTAGGTTGAAGGCGTCGGGGGGCCCACACAGTGTGGTTTGACCCGAGCCCAGTTTCCTCTTTATGGACGGCCCTGGTCATCATATTTGCTTTTTGTCCATTCGTAGTTATCATTGACTTAAATTAAAATAAAAAGCATTTTATTGATATTCTGGTCATTAAATGTGTTCACAAAATTTACATTGCTATGAAAGCATCAAGAATGTGGATCAGGACACCCCGAGTCGTCTGCTTTGTTAATCGGTGCTTCGAGGGAGTTGTCATAATTTAAAAGCTTATTTTTATTGTTTCACGAAACAAGATAAAAGAGAAAAATATGAGGAAATAGGAGTAGGATTGAATAAAATAACGTGGGCACTACTCAGGAAAGACTCACCGAGCATCACGGCTGTTCCTGGGAGGGCTCTCCTCTGGAAGGTTTGGCCAATTCCTTACCAACTGCTTTGAAAAGAGTCAAGGCACAGCCGAAAGCTCTTTGCAATATCAGGACACCCATGAAATGAGAGCCTAACACAGCTCATTGGGGCCCTTCTTCCTGCATTAAATAAAAACATAAATCTAAATTACTTCTGACACGTTAGTTTTTACCTTCTCGTAAATTGTCAACGGTATTGCTTTTAATCGAAAAATTACCCTCCTAACATCGTTAATTTATTACACTCCAATTCGGGATACAATATAAAACATCCTATCAATAATGTTAATATGATGATCAATATAACCCGTACATTTGTCTGATCTCGTCAAGATTTCAGACGCGAGGCAATATTGAGCCTGGATAGTGCTTGGACGGGCGACCACAATGCAAAGAACATAGGGCTGCTATGGGGGCGATATGGCGAGCAGAAGAGGGAAGCACAGCATTGTCCATTGTTGTTCTGCGATTTATAAGCTCCCACATCCATGCTCCCGACACATTCACTGACCAGCAAGAGTGCAGTACGGTCAAACGATCCCCACGAGTCACATGGTGTGGGGGAGGGCCCTCCTCCGGCAGTGGACTGACAACAACGTTGCACGCTGTTGCTCAAAAATAATCTACCCTCACAAATTACATCAACGGAGACTTTCAAGGCCTTCAAAAGTTCAAATTGCAGTTGGGGGGGGCGGGGGGGGGGGGAATCAACTGAACTCATCATCATCGTCATGGCTCTGAGTCAATAAAATAAAAATACCACTTTGTGAAAGTCAACGGCAGCCGTCCCAGTGAGAGACTGGGCCCCCACCTGCAGGGAGCCCCTTCTTCCTGTACGCCGCCGTCATCCCAGACTTCCTGTTCCGCTGCTGCTGGTGTCCCGCCATGCGGTTCCTCTCGTAGATCTTCCGCCAGTCCAATGTGCTGATGGACGGGTCGGTCACCTCCGCTGCCACAAACCCCTCTGCACCGTCGTGTGCCTGCTGGTGCTGTTGCTGTTGCTGCTCGTGGTGCTGCTGCTGCTGCTGTTGCTGATGGTAATCGTCCATCCCATGGGCATCCCAGCCACCCTCCGTGCCCCTGGACCAGTCTGCAGGGGAAACAAGCAAACCCCGCCATTACTGTTAAAAGCATGTTTGCTACGATAGGCTACTTTGTTTAGCTATCATTTGCGGCCAGGTCGCTGCTGGGTTCTTTGGCCATGTCTTCACCACACTAGTCAGTGGGGGGTGCCATGGTGGCGAGATCTTAATCTCCTCGTCTGGTGTCCAGGAGTGGTCGTAGGTTCGATCCCGACCCTGACGCCTGTATATTTGGAGTTTGCGTCTCTCTCCCCGTGTTCGCCTGAATTTTTCTCCAGGTCCTCCGGTTTTTCCCTCCACGTTTAGAAACATGTGTTAAGAGTATATGGCTGCTATAAATGACCACGTGATAAGCCACTTCGTTGGGCTAAAATTGTATGGCCAGATCACCTCTGAGAAAGCGCTACATACAGTGAGGGAAAAAAGTATTTGATCCCCTGCTGATTTTGAACGTTTGCCCACTGACAAAGAAATGATCAGTCTATAATTTTAATGGTAGGTTTATTTGAACAGTGAGAGACAGAATAACAACAAAATCCAGAAAAACGCATGTCAAAAATGTTATAAATTGATTTGCATTTTAATGAGGGAAATAAGTATTTGACCCCCTCTCAATCAGAAAGATTTCTGGCTCCCAGGTGTCTTTTATACAGGTAACGAGCTGAGATTAGGAGCACACTCTTAAAGGGAGTGCTCCTACTCTCAGCTTGTTACCTGTATAAAAGACACATGTCCACAGAAGCAATCAATCAATCCGATTCCAAACTCTCCACCATGGCCAAGACCAAAGAGTTCTCCAAGGATGTCAGGGACAAGATTGTAGACCTACACAAGGCTGGAATGGGCTACAAGACCATTGCCAAGCAGCTTGGTGAGAAGGTAACAACAGTTGGTGCGATTATTCGCAAATGGAAGAAACACAAAAGAACTGTCAATCTCCCTCGGCCTGGGGCTCCATGTAAGATCTCACCTCGTGGAGTTGCAATGATCATGAGAACGGTGAGGAATCAGCCCAGAACTACACGGGAGGATCTTGTCAATGATCTCACGGCAGCTGGGACCATAGTCACCAAGAAAACAATTGATAACACACTACGCCGTGAAGGGCTGAAATCCTGCAGCGCCCGCAAGGTCCCCCTGCTCAAGAAAGCACATATACATGCCCGTCTGAAGTTTGCCAATGAACATCTGAATGATTTAGAGGACAACTGGGTGAAAGTGGTGTGGTCAGATGAGACTAAAATGGAGCTCTTTGGCATCAACTCAACTCGCCGTGTTTGGAGGAGGAATGCTGCCTATGACCCCAAGAACACCATCCCCACAGTCAAACATGGAGGTGGAAACATTATGCTTTGGGGGTGTTTTTCTGCTAAGGGGACAGGACAACTTCACCGCATCAAAGGGACGATGGACGGGGCCATGAACCGTCAAATCTTGGGTGAGAACCTCCTTCCCTCAGCCAGGGCATTGAAAATGGGTCGTGGATGGGTATTCCAGCATGATAATGACCCAAAACACACGGCCAAGGCAACAAAGGAGTGGCTCAAGAAGAAGCACATTAAGGTCCTGGAGTGGCCTAGCCAGTCTCCAGACCTTAATCCCATAGAAAATCTGTGGAGGGAGCTGAAAGTTCGAGTTGCCAAACGTCAGCCTTGAAACCTTAATGACTTGGAGAAGATCTGCAAAGAGTGGGACAAAATCCCTCCTGAGATGTGTGCAAACCTGATGGCCAACTACAAGAAACGTCTTACCTCTGTGATTGCCAACAAGGGTTTTGCCACCAAGTGCTAAGTCATGTTTTGCAGAGGGGTCAAATACTTATTTCCCTCAGTAAAATGCAAATAAATTTATAACATTTTTGACATGCTTTTATCTGGATTTTGTTGTTGTTATTCTGTCTCTCACTGTTCAAATAAACCTACCATTAAAATTATAGACTGATCATTTCTTTGTCAGTGGGCAAACGTACAAAATCAGCAGGGGATCAAATACTTTTTTCCCTCACTGTACCTCAGTGGGCATTACCTGGTAAAATAAAAAATCTTTAGTGAAATCGTGTTCACTGCAAATGCATGCTAAGCAGTGGTGTAGTGGCTATCAAATTGCATTGAGCATAGAAACTTGACTTTGACTCCCTGCTACAACTAACATAAGCAGCAAGTGATTATTTGAACTGGCCCTGGGAGCCCCCTTCACCAACCTGCACTCAACAACGTGGAAAAGCATGGACAACCCCCCCTCCCACCCCTCATAACTGACACTCCATGGGGAGACCTTCATCCGGCTGTGAAATGACAAAGGTCTGTGAGCTATTCTGAACTAATTTATTAGAAACATAACATCTACAGATTTTAAGAGAACATGTGACGGAAAACTGGATTTCTCCTGATTTCCTCTGCCTCCACCCACCCCCTCGCACCCTCCCCCCCCCACCCACCCGCCATCCACCCCTGAACTTGTGATATTTAACAGTAGGCTTTCGCCAATATTATCCATAAGAGGTTTTTGGGTTCGATCGCGTAAATATAAATGTGTAATTTATATGCAGAGATTAACCGCCCCCCCCCCTACCACTCTGGCCTTGCACCTGATTGGCTCACAAGTGACGACATCACATTTATCCCTCTATTTAAGATCGAAGCAGGAGGATTTCTCCACAGCTCTGGCTGTCTGCCTGATGATGCTAGCTGTCATTACTAATTGGCTGTGTCGGGTGGTGACGAGTTTATGCAATCTAACCAAAACAACTCTATTGTGGACTTTGATATTGTTGTGAGTTTGTGGACAGAGGAATGAGAGCTGTCTTCCCCCAGCAACATGATACAGCATACACCCACTTTAGAAGTGGCGCAACCACAATTGAGCACCGACTTTTTCGAGCCACACATATAATGGAAGTGTGAGATCTCCGGGTTAGGGCCGCATGTCGAATCAGAATCTTTATTTATCCTGCAGAAATCCGATGAGCTATACGGCTCTTTTTTCACAGATCTCCAGTAGGGGCGGGTCAGGAAGTTACACCAACAATTTTTTTAAAAAAACACGATAGGAGTGCAAAGTATAGAAAAAGTAAGCCAATCATTAAAAATAATAAACTTGACTTAAAAAAATCCCAACTGAGCTATATAGCTACATAACTGAGCTATATAGCTATATAACTGAGCTATATAGCTATATAACTGAGCTATATTGGCCAGGTATATAACTGAGCTATATTGGCCAGGTATATAACTGAGCTATATTGGCCAGGTAAGGCCAACTGAGCTATATAGCTCTTTTTCAGAAGCAAACTGGCTGCAAATGATAGCTTGTCAAGTAGAAATTTAAAGCAGCTAAATAATCTGAACACATGTTTCTAAAATGAGCATCATCTTCTCTCAGGCTTTCGCCACTACGCACCATATCTTTAGGAGTTTTAGTTAGGAACATGACACCTGGTCTTCGCGACAACCAGAACGAATGAGACGGGCAGGATTCCTCAATTCCAACTCCTAAAGATGGCCCCCAGTAGCACGTGGTGGCGAAAGTTCCAGAGAATGTGCTAAAAGGTGTGGCGAGATATATACTGCCTCGCCTGGTATGCAGGACGTCATGGGTTCGATCCCAACCGTGACGCCTGTATATTTGGAGTTTGCATGTTCTCCCCGTAGTCAGGTGGATTTTTCTCCGGGTCCTCCGGTTTTTCCCTCCACATTTAGAATCAAAGCACATTTAAGAGTATTTGCCTGCTATAAATTTCCACGTGATAAGCCACTTCGCTGAGCAATGATTCGCGATGGCCAGGTCGCTTCCGAAAAAGAGCTACATAGCTCAGTGGCCGCCTTACATGGTAAAATAAACAAAAAAATATTTAAAATAACAGCATGGGTCAAAACAACGAGCTGTGCAAGACCTACCGTCACAGGTGACGTTCCTTTCCTGCTTCACGGCCATCCACATTCTGCTCCTGTTCTCCCCATCCAATGCGATGCCACTGTCCACATTGCCCTGCTCTGTTATTCAGCACCAGCACCAGCACCACCACCACGCAGTGCGTCGTCAATAACAAACCAAAAAACAACCAGCGCTGGTATTTAACTTGTTTAATGGGGGTGAGAGCCCACCGAGAGGAATCGGTGTGTATCTTTCGCGAGGGAGAAAAACACACACACACACACCTGTATACCCATGAAGAGAAAATTACCCAGCATGTTGATTCAGAAAAGTGTAATGAGAAATTATAAACAATCTCAGCGTTTGCTTTAATTCCCAAGGTGTGCATTACTCACATAAATGCCCTCATTTGGATTAATTTGCAAGGGATATTCATTTTGAATTAATTTGCATGTGAACGGCAACGCAAGCCGTCAGGTGCATTAGTTGACTCATGAATCATTAATGCGTGAACATCGTTTTAAAAGCTGCTAGATATTTAGACCAATGAGCTTAGCCACAGCTATAAACGCACCAACCTTTGTAGATACTCACGTTGGTAGACATTAATATTTTAACAAAAGGACAAAAAAATATACATGTCCATACGTCTATGCATGTATGCATGTGTGATGCGTGTGGTGCTAAACGCTTGTAATCCGATGCTTTGAAGCAAGGTTAGTTTATTCTACATTAGGCTGTGACACTTTCAAACTGCTGGGCTTCAAGGTGACCAGTTTAGGAAGTACAGCAAATGTGAGTGTCAACCCCTTTTACGCAAGGCTACTTTATACGTATGCTGCTTTCGTCATGCATGTAAATATACTCATTGCAGAATTGGCCAAACACTAAAATGAAAGGAAGTGAGAATTCTGAATGAAATACAAATAATCATTGCTGTTGTTGTACAGAATATAACAGAATATAAGTAGTGAAATAAAGAAGCAGACGATGTCTCCTTCATATGCACATAACAAAATAAAGGTCATTTGATACAATCCGTCAACCAGAAGGGCTTGGAATGCATCGTTTCACCAACATTGGTTCAACATGAGCCAACTCTGGACGTGTTTCGAAAAACAGGCCCTTATCAGCAGTCAGATTAGCTTGAACCAATGCTGGTGGCAATGCCAGATGTTATGGACTGGGAACCTCTCTTTAAGGTTTGGGCCCTCGCTCAATGCAAGCTTATGTATTACACAACACGACAATCATGAGTGTTGTTGTGGAGAATAAAGAGTGAATGAAAGAGACATTGGGTGAGACTTTGCTGGATAAGTGTTCTTTCTGCAGAGCTCATTCTTCCAGCTGCCCGTTGTCTCCAATTCAAAGACAGTAACTGTGGATCATCAGTCTTTCGTGGTCACTCCCCCCGCTATCTGGAATTTTACCCCCCTTCACAAACACAGCATAGAGTCACCGTTCACAAGAAACACCTAAAGATGCACTTGCTCCGGCAGAAACTCTACGAGCTGGGCTCTGAGTTACGTTCGAAGATTTGTCCGCTCGAAAAAATGTGTCGTTAAACCCGCCACCACCCGACGCAGCCAATTAATAATGTTTGTCACGTAAACAAAATGTGGTTTACCCTCCAACACACCGGTTTGCTGAAGTAGTAACTAATTGGATGTTGTATTTACATGGCGACAAAACTTACTAATTGGCTGTCAGGTGGTGCCGAGTTTAACGACATACATATTTACGCAATCTAACAAAAAATCCTTTATTATTGTTTATTATTATTATCATCAAGCGAAGCTCATCACTACGATGCGGGGGCAACAAGATGGAGCCGATGGCATCACAAAGACGTGTGGTGTGTGTGTGTGGTGTGTGTGTGTGGTGTGTGTGTGTGGTGTGTGTGCGTGGTGTGTCCCACCACCCCCCCCCCCACCGTAACGAAATGTGCGGGTTTCTCACTCTCGCGTTCCACTTTGATTCGCTTGCATTGGGTGCGGGGACTTGTGCCCATTTCGTTGCCGCAGAGCCCGTCGCGAGGGTCCTCCAGCACCCCTGCACACCGCGTCCACAGCACCCCGCCACGTCAGAGCCGGCACCCGCAACGCCTGCGGCACCCACAACGCCCAGCTGTTTTCTGTGAGCGAGCCAGCTAGCCGTCACACACCTTACCCGGCGCCTGCGTGCAGAGCTAAATGGCCTCCACTGCTACGTTACCCAAGTATTAAACTGCGTACGTGATCACTTAGTCATTCGTCAATCCAATGCTGGATGAGTGCCTCTTCATGCTGTGTCGACCATGTGGAGTTGTTTGGTTAAACTTTGTCATCCTGGTCAGTGCAGGGTTTGTGAAGGGGAAGCACAGGATCCGGTTCAGATAACGCCGCTGATGTTAGCCACGGCAAGAAAAGAACCTCGGGTCGCCAGGTTCGTAGTGCACTGTGCAAAACGATGAGAAAGTGCTCCACCCGATGTTTCCACATAAGGCATGGTAACTGGGTTAATGGCCATTAATCAATCAGCATCGATTAGAATGCTCGCGAAGAGCACACAGAATAGTGCATGAAAAACAGCAGATTTACAGGATATGCAAATCACTCAAATGTTACAGTCAGGCTAACGTAACGAATACAAGAGTGATCGTACAGACGCGACGGTAATTATTTTTTTAAGATAATAATCAAAGGTTCGAATTGAATCGTGACCCACATTAATGATAAAACGTCAAATCACAGTGAGGGGTGACTTGTTACAAGCCTCATCCATAGTCGCGTGTGGGTGCTCGTCACAGGACACCCCTCCGTAATAAGGTTCAGAAATTAGCATAAAAAATGAGATCCCAGGCCAATGTCTGTAAATTAATTTCCAAAGAGGCATATATTATTGACAGACCTCACCCATTAGCCGTGAAGCAATGAGATCGTAGTTCACCAGCCGGCTGGATTATGTCATTTCTCGTGTCTGACATGGCAATGTGATTAACAGTAACCATGTAACTATTCGCACTGGACATGTAATTAATCGTGTCATGGCCTAGAATTGTGGTAATTCATTAATCGATAAGAAAAAAATGCCATTGTGGCAAATATAGGCTGCAGGGTTTATGGGAACCGATTTCATACGTATACAAATTTAAAATAATCAACTCGTGCATGCAGAATTTGATGCCGTGTACCTTGAGCATAAAAATCTATCACTGATGAATCGATGCATCACCAACATGCCTAATAAACAGCCTGAAATAGATAAGATATTTTCATCACAAAGGTTATTATAAAGAGGAAACACTGAAATTGGTTCAAAGTCATTTAAAAGACTGAATTGAAAGATTAGTCATTAAATATGACACCCATGAAACAAACATTAACAATAACATGCAAAGACCATGCAAACATTACGTGCTGGCTAACGGAACGAGAAACAACGTACAATACAAACGATAAAAGTGAGACAGTACAAACAAAAATATAAATTCTTGATTCGAATCCCGACTCCAATGGTGTCAAATTAAGTCATTCCACAGCGTAACACATCGCATTTCAACTGCCCTTCATTGCATATGAGGTAAGCCACTACCCAAATAGGCTGTGACACTTTCAATCCTCGCTCTTAAAACAGACACTTCACTCCAAACATTCAGCACAAATCCACTTCCTTTCCACGCCATGCGCACGCGCTCTCCCCATCCTTAATCTAGCCCAAACTGCTCGGCAGTAATAGCATCCAGCGCTAATTACATTTTAATGTCATCATTACTTATTGTTCCTCCCCCATGCTGGCTGATATTTGTGTTGCACGTCCGTATCAGCTGCCCGCGTTCAATCACTGCTCGAAAATCTGAACCCAAGTCCACAGGCGCCCACCGCCAATGTGCCAGTAACAAGGTGGGGGTTTGCGTGCTTCTTAAATTTTAACCCTGCGAGAAATATCCTTCACCTTCTCAGCCAAATGTTCCATTATTGTGTGTGGGGGTCGGTCGCTCGTAATTTCTTTCTCCCAAAGCGTTTCTATTCTGCATCTTCTTCTCTAGTCACGTTCACTCTCTCAGTGTTTTGTTCCACCGCATCCTCCGTCTCACGCCTTCCTTCTCCCTCTACAGGGACTCCTCTACTTACAGACGAGTTTGGTTCCAGGTCTGATTGTAAGTACATTTTTTCGGGCGCCCATCTTTACTCCTGTCGATTCCAAACATGTTGTAGAGCATGTCCACTAAACACGGGGAATGGCTTTAAAAGTTGTAAAATCTCGATTTAAAGCTTTCGTGACCGCAATGATTCATCTTCTTTGGTTCTTTCGGTAAAGTCACGTAGAATGAGAATAAAATAATAAATTGATAAAATAAAATAACACAATAATATTCTCACAACAGCGCTGTCCTACCAGACAGTCTCGTCCCTTCACCTGATGAAGGCCGCTTGTGTTGTGGCCGAAACGTCGTGAGAATATTATTATTTTATTTTATCAATTTATTATTTTATTCTCATTCTACGTGACTTTACCGAAAGAACCAAAGAAGTTGTAAAATCTCCTGTAGATGCCAAAGGTTCTTCATGTTCTGCAGGTTGTCACCTGTTCTTCATGTTCTGCAGGTTGTCACTGGTTCTTCATGTTCTGCAGCTGTAGATGCCACTGGTTGTTTACGTCCTGCAGATGGAGATGCTAATTCCCTTTGGTGCTCGTGTTTCCTCTCTACTCTCTTGAAAAACTTACCCAGGGCTGACTGCACAGTTGCTCTCTTCTTCTCTTCATTAATCAACTTGTAACAGGCGATAGTATTGTGAACAGCTGCCGAACAGGCTGCAACTGGACATGCGGGCAGGTTTGGTCGTATCTCTGAAAGTTCGTAATTCGAATGTTCATAAGTAGAGGAGTACCTGTACTCCTGCCATGCACGGTTCGCATCTCGACAAACCAATTCTGATTTCATCTTCTTCAACATGCGTACCAAAACCAGCCGTGTTTATTTTGTAAAAGCAGGAGATGTTACAAAAACTATTATTAATGACATAGATAACCTGCTTTTGTACACATGACAGACAATACTTTTTAACTCTCCATATATATAAAAGGCAAAGTTGTGAATATGCGTGTCTGTTCAAAATGTTTAGCGTACTTCCCGACATGCAACAAACTTGAAATTTGCCATGTGGGTACTTTCCAGACTGTACACCATGCAACAATTATAAAAATACACTTTTGTTTTTTTTTGGAGGGGGGGGAACTCAATAATGCATATTTTTTGAGCTGTGACGTCAAATCTGTCATGTGACCCGCGCATGTGGAAGCGTAACGCATAGTAGTGTAGTGGTTAGCGTGCCGCGCTACGAACCCGGCGACCCGAGTTCGATTCCCGCTCACGGTCACCACCGGTGACGATTATTTTTACCAGTCCTGAGCCTCCCCCTAGGTCGACTCGGCATCAAACAAGTAACTGCTCTGCTGTGTGAACATCACCACTGGGGAGACAAAGGCGGCGAGCAAGTCCCGGGCGAAGCCGGGTAGTACAGCTAGTTTAGAATATACGGTAGGGGAGCTGCCAATTGTTGTTAGCTTTGCATAAAGTAAATGAGAGGATTTGTTTTTCTTCTCTGTTTAGATACATTACCTTCTCACTGGCAAGTGTACCGGCACTAACGTCCCTTGTGGGAATGTGGGATGCACCCAACCGCTCTGTGCAATGAAACTAGGATCGGAATCTTTCTGTGGACTGGAGGAATCTGCTGAGCTATCAATTTTCTTTAACAGACGTCCAGCGTCTACATCATTAGACCTCCTTTGCCAGTACCAAAATGTAATAATAGGGTTTTCCCCCTTTTTTCTGGCAACAAAACTGAAACCTTTTTACAAGAATTCATGTCTGTATTAACCACAATACCTGCAGTCAAAATGCAATCAAAAAACATACTATGATAATATATGCATTGTCCTTGAAACTGATTGGTCCACACCAAGGGACGGCTTTCTTTTGGGCCTCGACCCAATTGGTGCTCGACCAGATGACGCCAAAAGGCGTCATCTGCATATATTATCATAGTATGTTTTTTGTTTGCATTTTGACTGCAGGTATTGTGGTTAATGCAGACATGAATCCTTGTAAAAAGGTTTCAGTTTTGTTGCCAGGAAAAAGGGGGAAAACCCTATTATTAGACGTCCAGCTATTAAACATGCGCCTCTCTCAGGAACCAATGAACACAACGCGGCTTCATTAGCAGCCTCGCTGGTTTTTGGGGAAATTGCGGGTATTTAAATGATAGATCATTTTAATTTTGCGCTCATAGGATAACTCAAGCCAACATTCGTCTTGTACTGGCTGTGACTGTGTGAGGCTCTTACAGCAGTGACGTTCTGTCACGATGCCAAAACTCTGCAAATTAGTTTTACGGAAAAAATGTAATAAATAGCGCCAGAACTGCATTGGAAGAGACAATTATGGGAAATTAGATCATACAGGCTGGCCATCCTTTCCTTTTTTATGCAATAAGTTAAGATTAATATAATGTAACACTGCACTTATAAGGCCATCAGCAGCTCTTCTGGGCCATGCAACCATCAACTTAAATATTTTATAAAAACACGACAAATTCTTGTAGAATTCAGACACTTCCGTAGCAATAGTTATAACATGGAGAGAACACAAGACATGAGATTTTTAAGGCGGTCTGCAGCCCATAGGCATGCAGATATATTAAAAACAAATATTTTAAAACGAATATCGGTCCAAATGAGGTGCGTCGCATGAATAATGTGTGTTTTTTACTCAATTGTTGTCGGTAAATGAACCACACAGATTTAAAGAGCTGAATTTTTCTTGCAATCAAGTGCCGGGGCTCTTCCAGAAGCAACCTATATTAAATCCTGATTAAATGTCAATTCTGGTTGCCATTGGAGGGATTGGTAGCAGCACTTTAACGACTTCAATTACAGAAAAGTCACCAGTTTCCTTGTAAATCAGCCCGTGTGGGCTAGCGTCTAGGGGGCGTGACAGATTTCAGCAATGCTCGCTCGAACAGAGCAATTAGGGATCTCACGATGGTAGAATATAGGGCACATCGCCC